TCCCGTAGAAGTAGAAAGAGTGTCTTTGTTGCGTAGTGCATAACATGAATAACAACAACCGTAACTCGCCGGTTGAGTTTGTCCGTGTGCGAGTGCGAGCGTCCCTCACAGTCCCACGCACTCTTCAATTCAATTAAAATAAAAAGTTGGATTTAAATTGTAGGAAATAATTATGTTCCAGAGAAGAAAAAAGGAGCAGATTAGTAACAGTAGTAGCAGTGGCACCTTGGCTGTGGTAGCATCATCGACGAATTCTCCCATGAGAAACGCAACACCCTCATTCAAATCCTTCCTCTTAACGCTCTCGCTCATTCTCAACCTCTACCTCCTGTGGGCCCCACTCTCCCCAACGCTCCCCCAATCCACCCTCATCTCCCGCCTCTCCCCCACCGCGCGCCGCCACCTTCTCTTCTCCGTCGCCTCCTCCTCCCTCTCCTGGCCCCGCCGCCTCCCCTACCTCCGCCTCTGGCACTCCCCCGCCACCACCCGCCTCCTCGCCTTCCTCGACAAACCGCCGCCGTCCACCAACTCCTCCCACTCTCCCGAGGTCGTTATCTCCGCCGACACCGACGCCTTCCCGTACTCGTTCCGCGGGGGGCTGCGCTCGGCGATCCGCGTGGCGCGCGTGGTGAAGGAGGCCGTGGATCGCAACGAGACGGACGTGCGGTGGTTCGTGTTCGGCGACGACGACACCGTGTTCTTCGTCGACAACGTGGTGAGGACGCTCGCCAAGTACGACCACCGGAGGTGGTTGTACGTCGGGAGCAACTCCGAGAGCTACGACCAGAACGTGAAGTACTCGTTCGAGATGGCGTTTGGCGGTGGAGGCTTCGCGATTAGTTCCTCGCTCGCTAGGGTTTTGGCTAGGGTTTTGGATTCGTGTTTGAGGAGGTATGGACATTTGTACGGCAGCGATTCCAGGATTTATTCCTGCGTCGCGGAGCTTGGTGTTGGATTAACTCATGAACCTGGATTTCATCAGGTATGAAATTGCTTTGTCATTATAATAATTGTTGAAATCTGGTTATTACTTTTTTAATGCTTATGGTTCAATTGCATGTGTTGGATTCATTGGATATCTTTTTCTTATTCTCTTTTGTTAGTTGTTTGCATGTTTTTAACAATGAATGAACGCAATGGCCATGCCTTTCGCTTATAGATCGATTAGATGGTCATGGTCATATGAGTGATGTAACCGCAATTGCAGAAATGAAAACCCAGAATCCTTGACAATGCAGCCAAATTGCCGTCACTAACCATTTTCTAAAACCATGGATGGATGCCAGACTAATTGGCCGGATTTTCAATGTGTTTGGAAATTCGTCTTCCATGGAAGAAATCACGTCAAATAATTTAGAAACGCAAAAGCTACAATTGCGAGCTTCTACATAGATATGAAAAACTACGTCACGTGTGACCAAACACACTTAGTTGATACGGGTTGTGGTCATCTCTGATTGAGTCGGTGGAAAAGAGAATTAAGAAATCAGGAGGGGGATATATGACACTAACTTGTTCTTTTAGTAATCTATGATGTGCTGAAGAGTTCATTGCTGCCCCAGTGACTATTCTGTTTCTTATTTCCTTTCTGGATGTTGGAGACATGTTTAGAAAGACAAAACTTAGATGAAGAGTGCAGACATAAAGATATTGCTATTGTTGCTGTTTTTTCTTTTTAATTTAAATTGGCTATTGATCTTAGTAACTAAAATTAGCAGTAGTTGTCAAGATAAAATGCTAATTTTGATTGGAGGACATTATCAACAATATTGTATCTAAGATTTGTCCATAGATAAAACACTAGTAGGATCGAGACAGTTCGCATTTCTATAATTGCTGAGTACCACAACTTCAATAACCAATAGTAATTATCTATAACTGTCGACACTTAACATGGAAGGTGACTATTTTGACCTTTGATATTAAAAAATAGAACCTATCCTTCATGTAATAATAAAGGATAAAAAGGGAAAAATGAAATGGGTACACCAAAGCCTGTCATCGACTTTATCTATTGTTATAGATGAATCTGATAATGTGCATTGAGTTCTATTTTGCTGGCTACATTTGATGTTTGTCTGCACAATTAAATTGTACTTGGTCTCTCATGCACACTTGAGGTATGCATGGCATGATAAATCTTATAATTTGGTTTGAGATTTTATCTTGTTAAATTCTTTAGCAATTCAAACAAATATCGTAGTTAGTGCTTAGGAGTGTTGTCTTGGTCTTGAGTCTGATACTTTTACTGGATCTCATTTTGACTGCTTGACTTCTATAGTTCAGGAGAACCCTTTTATCATGTGATTATTCAGAACTAATACTTGTGCAAGAAATATGGATATACTCGATTCAGTCTTTATTTTTTCCACCAGTTAGATATGCGGGGTAATTTGTTTGGGATGCTGACTGCACATCCATTATCTCCTTTGCTGTCCCTTCATCACTTGGATGCAGCGGAGCCCCTTTTTCCTGACATGAACAGAGTACAGGCTTTGGAACATCTTATTGCAGCTGCAAATATAGATCCTGCCAGGATTCTGCAGCAAACTGTCTGCTATGATCGATCAAATTCTTTGACTTTCTCGGTTTCTTGGGGTTTTGCTGTTCAGGTTTATCAAGGAAATGAACTTCTACCTGACCTCCTTTCGCTGCAGAAAACTTTTGTGCCATGGAGGAGGGGTAGTAAAGCTAATGCCAATTTTATGTTTAACACCAGAGACTACCCTAGAGATCCTTGTAAAAGGCCTCCTGTATTTTTCTTGAAAAATGTTACATCTGATAAAAGGGGCATTTGGAGCAATTACAGTAGGCATGTTGTTGGGAACTGCTTTGAATCATATGTTACACAGCTCAAGCGGATCATAGTTTTTTCAAGGAAGCTGGAGCTTAATAATGAACAGGTTTTGTTAAATTAATCTTAGAAATGGTTAATTTAAAATTTGTGATTATGTTTTGTTCGTATGGTCTGTCGGCGTTCTTATTCTAGTTATTTAACTTTATGTTATCTTTTTTGGGTCTCACCACAGATGAATGCCCCCCGTCGTCAGTGCTGCAATGTGTTGCCATCTTCTAATGATACAACCAGTCTTCATATTAGACCGTGTGAAATCGGTGAACTGATCTCCATGCAATCATAACATTCTTTTAGGAGTGGCCTTCTTTGAAGGCTTCAAAATTTTCATGAGCGTGAATATCCGTGTTGCAGCTGATATGAGAGGTGGATGCTTCTTCTTGTTGGTTGATCTTATACTTTGTTTTTATAGGATAATTTCGAATGGAACTTTAATTATTATTATTATTTTTTTTTTTTGAAAGTCAGGGAAATAGTTTTTTTTTCCCCTCAACATTCTTCAGTTCTTAATTTGTTTTATTATATCATTGAACAAGGATAGCAAGCTGTATGTCAATAAGTTTTACATTTCTTCTGTCAAAAAAACAATTTTTATATTTCTGAAAACATTCTTATTATGTCCTGACTTTCCTGATTTCTATTTCCCCATCCTCTTTGCAGTAGAGAAAGGTCCTTGGCCTCTATGTAGAAGAAAAAATATCAAAGATAACTAAAAGATCTTGCTGGTGATCAAACCCCTCACAGAGTCACAGGCAGGTTTTCGTTCGTTGGAAAAGTGACCAACCTCAAACAATTTGCCTCAGTTGCCTAGCTTGTTTTAATTGCTTGGTAACTGAATTTTTCAAATATTTTATTTCTCAGCAATTTCTCAACAATTTATCTACTTTTTATGCTCAAAATTTCAGGGGAGCTCCCGTGGCATTTGGAGTGAGGTAACAGATCAGTCAAGGGTCCAATTTTAATTTGGAATGTGATCCCAACCATATTTCAATTCATGCTATTTGCCAATTAGTGCTTTGTCTGAAATTCTGTAAATTCTACATAATTGTTTGCCGCCTGCAAAGTGGTAATATATTTTACACATTGAACAGTCTGCTAGAAATATTAATATTTTTTATGGATGAGATATGAATGCGATTTCCAATTGTGCACGAAGCTGGACATCCCAATTAAGTTATATTTTATTTTTGAGTTATATCATATATGGGCTTCCAAATTTTCACGCCGTCCCATACGCAACTCGCAACAACCTACAACTCATCATTTTTCACCGTTTAATGAGTAGAAATACTTGCTATATGGTAATAATAATAATTATTATTATTGGTTTATTTCAGGAAACTGTAAACATGATATAACCTAGCATATTATCTAATATTAAAATTATTTTATGCATTATCTTAAATTAATGGTCTAATTAAATGTGAGTCCACGATGTAAGCATGTGGAGAGACAAATTTGATCAAGTCAATCTTGTTAGGGCGGGGTATACACAGATAGATTTCGTGAGGTATATAAACATTTCATTTTGAAGGAGCAAAACGGTAAAAAAAAAAAAAAAAACTAACTAACAAACGTACAATACGGTAAAAAGCCTAAACATACGCATAAAAGCTTAAAACAGTGGTGTAACCGATACATGCTTTGAGGCCTGAGTTGTAAAACAAACGTGAGGCCAATTGTAGTTTCATGGCAAGCTATTAATTTTCAGGTGACAGTTAAAACTTAAAAGCGTAGGCCATGCCAAAAACTTAAGCACCTTACCTTACATGACAGGTGGCCTAACTCTAGTCCCGCCAACACCCTACCCTTTTTTCCACTCTCTTCCAAGTAGTCAATGCACATTATTTCAACAACTTGAATCCAATAACCACAAAAACCAGCCAACCGTGCGAATCTAATTGGAAGGCATACTAGAGTTTCGTCTAACATACCTACCCATGTTATTAACATGGAACATTAACTGACTCAAAAACGTCAAAACAATCTTCTTTCTTACGCCGTTGATCGCGGTAGCACCTTGCCAAGTTATATACCTCAAAAACATGTCTCAAACCGTTCTCACACACAGCACATGAACCCTCCTAACTCTTCATCCCACGACAGAACTAGATCCGTTCCCGTCACCATGCAGCTTTTTCACAAACCCACCAAGGCTCAGTCCCTTGTTAATTTCATTCTAATATCTTCTTCATTCTGCGCCCTCTATGTCATCGTATCAGTGCTATTGTTGGGGCCTTCAAGACTAATTCATGTGAACAAGACAACATCACAAGATGTGTCCGCACCAACCACCCTTGACCACCTCGTGTTTGGAATTGCTTCGAGCAAGAACTCATGGCTGAAGAGGAAGGAGTACGTGAAGCTGTGGTGGAACAGCAACACCCACAAACCTATGAAGGGGTGTGTGTTTTTGGAAAGCCTCACAGATGAAGAACGTGCAAGGAACGAGAAAGATACCTCTCTTCCTCCTCTTTGCGTCTCTCAGGACACTTCACGGTTCCGTTACACTAACAAGGGTGGACTGCGCTCCGCGATACGCGTGGCACGTGTGGTGGCGGAGACCGTGGCGATGAACAGCAATGATTCGGACGTGAGGTGGTACGTGTTTGGAGATGATGACACGGTTTTCTTCCCACAGAATGTGGTGAAGACTCTTTCCAAATATGATCACGAGCTTTGGTACTACATTGGTGCAAACTCTGAGGTGTATGAGCAGAACCGCGTGTTTGGTTTTGGAATGGCTTTTGGAGGGGCAGGTTTTGCTATCAGCTCCTCTTTGGCAAAGGTCTTGGCCAAGGTTTTTGATTCCTGTATAGAAAGGTACCCTCATCTCTATGGAAGTGATGGCAGGGTCTACTCTTGCTTGGCAGAACTTGGGGTAGGATTAACACATGAACCCGGCTTTCACCAGGTAACAAACAGTTCAGTTTTTGACATGCTGAAAATTTTGGATAATTTGATTTTATTCCTTTTGATCATCCTTTTTTGTGCATGTTTGGTGAAGGATTACATTTTGGTTTTGGTTAGAATACACTATGAGCTCAGGGGCGTTTGGTTGAAGAAAAAATTTTCATACCAAAAAATCATGTTTGGTGACATGATTCTTAGGAATGATACAAATATGTTTGATTAGTCATAAATATTTTTATAAATATTTATAAAGATTATTTAAGAATAAATATTTTAATTGCATTAATTAAACAAATTAAGGTTTTACCACAATAAAGCTTTCATTTTAACCTAAGAATGTTAGATACCTATCTTTTCATTTGGTGGAAAACTTGTATAAAAAATATTTTGAAAAAACTATCTTTCATTGAAATATTATTATTTTAGACAATAGACCCAACATGAAAGCAAAAGAACTTTTCATATACTAAAAGCTCAATTACATATTATCATGTGTGATAGGTTTATTGATTTTTATAATAACTCTCTTAAAATTCTTATAAAAGATGATTTCTAATTAATTGAAAGAGTAGGAATTTTTACATTAACATTTCATCGCAATTAGACTCTTATTTGACAAAAAAAGTTTATTTGTTTATGATGAGCTGAATTAAGCTTTTAACTTTGTGATTTATGAAATTGGATCAGGTAGATTTAAAGGGAAATACCTTTGGCCTATTGGCGGCACATCCTTTAACCCCTTTGTTGTCCCTGCATCATCCGGATTACACTGATCCAATCTTTCCAAACATGACAACCACACAAGCTCTCAAGCATTTATTTGAAGCAGCAAATGTGGATTCCCAGAGGATGCTGCAGCAAGCAATTTGCTATGACAGATGGTTTTCATGGACAATTTCAGTGTCATGGGGCTATGCTGTTCAGGTTTTCCCAAACCACATGCTTTTGCCAGAAGTTCTGAAGGTGCAAGAGACATTCAGGCAGTGGAGGAAGGGAAACATGTTGGCAAAATCATACACTTTTAACACTAAAGAACTTCACCATGACCCTTGTAAAAGATCCACCGTTTTCTATCTGGATAGTGTGTATTCTGGAAAGGATGGCATCATTAGCAGTTACAAGAAATCTTTTCAGAATTGCTCAAACAAAGCCGAGTCGCCAGAGAAATTGGAAGTGATCAAAGTGGTCGCAAATAAGCTAGACCTTAACATCAAACAGGTACTATATCGGACATTAGTATTAGAACTTGTTTGAATACAAAATTAAAAGAATTTTTGAAAGTTTTTCTACTCAAAAAAGCTCTTTAAATTTGGTAGAAAAACTTTTCTAATCTTATATCCAAACATACTCTTAGCATTCCTTCAGCCTTTAGGACTATTAGGATGATTTGACATTGGTAATAGTAATACTCATACTCACAAACTATTTTCTTTTATAATCAGTTAAAGGCCCCAAGAAGGCACTGTTGTGATGTGCTGCCATCTACTGCCCGGGACCAAATGGAAATCTCAATGAGGGAATGCAAAGATGAAGAATTGGTTTACATGTACTGACAAGAAGGGTTGTCTGTGACCCAATATTGGTTTTTTTTATCTTGATATATTATACCGAGGGTCATGTAATTGATGCTTGATGAGAATGCAAATAGATGAAATTACAGTAGATTAGTTAACAGCTTGTAGCCCTGACATTTTGTATCAGTGTAAAAATGCGAAAGTAAATTCAATCAGCTTATGATCAAGTATGTTTCTGCATTGCCGGCTAAGTATTTTTTTCAACTCAAAACTATGTTCCTAATCAGAAGGTAGGAAAACTAAGAAGTTATAATTAACATTGTTAAATAAAGCTCATGCTCACAGGATTGGTTGGTTATTTCTAATACAATTTGAAGAGAATAAACTGCTCAAGCAATAGGATTATGTGACCTGAAATGTGCCTCTTATGCCTAAAATAATCCAAATCACCGTGTCAAATATATTATCATTACTTTCTGCTAATAGCAATCTTCGATTGAAAACCATTATCAGATCGATGGATTTCTTCTTTTCACTTCTTTTCTTTAATCTTCATAGTCTTTCACAGTGCTATTTTAGGACATGCATGTTTGTTCAATGTCTATAAACTATTCATGCAACGGCACTAATGGAACAGCAAGCCTAGCTAATGATCTTCCGACTTGTCTCAAGAATGTAGCTCTATCTGACCTTCTATGACATTGCTGTGCCTATAACTTATTTATTTAATTATTTAACTGTTGAAAGTAGTTTTTCTTTAGACCTGAAACTTTCAAAAATAAAAATTTACAAATAAAACATTAAAACAATAGAGATAAAAGTAGCGCATCATAGTGTATAAACATAAGTACAATTATTAGTATTATTTTATCTATCCTGTTCGAGCTCGACAACAAACTCAGGTTTTGGAAAAACTCAAACTCTAGACTACTGTTGGTATGTGTAGATACAATAAATTAATCTTTGTTTACATAACCTAATTTTTATTGATTGAACATTATTTTAATTTTTACAATTATTAGACTAAAATGCTTGATTTATGTGAAAGTACAATAAATGAGATAGCACTATACATAGAGTATTTATATATATATATAT